TAATTACAGGGAATGCTATTGTTTTACATCAAAATCAGAGTGTTGAAACAACCATGTATTATATGTGCAAGTAACATATAATACGTATAAACCCCATACCTCTGCCCTATGTCATAATATTTGGGTATATTTTCATATCAAATACCTTTAAGAATGCTTTATAGCCTAGTTCTCCAAGGACGTATGTACTGTTTAAATATTTCTAATAATATATGTTTTGCTTGAGTCTAAGCTTGTGATACATAGGTACTATAAGACAGTTTACTTGTGAAAAATATACCTAAAAAATGTAACACGATGTTCTCTCTAAAATATCCACTTTATAATACCATGTTTTATTTCTAGATAATAATTATAGTATTGGCTAGGTGATGTATTGCACAAGAAAGGTACTCTTTGACTCAAATCCGAGGTTAGACATGCGTTTACGTCATGGGTCTGTGTTGATATACATGTACTAGTATATTGATCCGTTCAGATCCGGGTTAGAATTGATCTTCAGCAACCCGTACTTGTCGTAAGAGGCGACTAACGGGATCGGGTGATCAGGTTCGCTGACTTAGATGATGCATGTCATCGTATCCCCTTTGGGTGGAGCGATGTCATGATGTCATTCACTGGATTGTCTGGTCCAGACTCGATTATTCACAGACCGCCGTCATAAAGCTGCAAGATCACTGAGTGCGGCGTCAAAAAACAAACAAACAAACAAACAATAAAAATACATGTATTTTCATTTGACTGACAGGTAGACACGTATAACCCATAATTGTGTGTTGACTGGTAACACTTATATATATATTCGAATGGCGAAACAGGTTTCTCTTAATTATATATTTCATCAATGCTTTTGTTTATTTCGTCAATGCTTTTGTAAATACTCTTATACTCCTCGAGAGATTTCGTGTAATATTTCTCACACATACTCCACAAAGGCATGTGCATTGAATGCACTCGGCACATAAAACATTCTGTGTTTGAACGTCACGATACAGTCTTTACAAACCGCTACAACCAGCGACCGCCCTTCCTTCAGGAAAGTTAAATGGCTTGTCGGGTTTCACGAAATGTACTTGCCCAAGTCTGTCTATCTAGATGATTGTCACATTATTCCCACGCTACATCAATACAGGCAATGAATGTCCGGGGCTTAAATATATATTTCATACATGAGTTGATCAACAGTATTGATACCATGTAAATAATCGAGTCTGGACCAGACAAAGCAGTTAATGATAATTTCGGTCTACGCCCTCAAGGTACGACAGCCATGTCAGCCATTGTAACCAAGCAATCCCCATTGTGGTCGTCTCCAGCGACGAGCACCGGCACCGGGCGCGGATGACCTTTGTTTGTTTGTTTTTTTGTTTGTTGTTTAACGCTGCACTCAGCAATATACCAGCTATATAACGGCGGTCTGTCAATAATCGAGTCTGTACCAGACAATCCTGTGATTGACATCATGTGCATCGATCCGCGCAATTGGGATACGATGACATGCATCAACCAAGTCAGCGAACCTGACCACCCGATCCCCTTTGTCGCCTCTTACGACAAGCATAGTCACCTTTTACGGCAAGCATGGGTTGCTGAAGACCTATTCTACCCCGGATATTCACGGGTACGCGGGGACCTACCCTGGTTGGCATTCGGTGAATGTATGAAGCATTGATTAATTATTAAATGTTCTAAATGTAGCAGGGCGTGGAAAACTACATGTCCAGCCTCGAGGCTGCTGGTAAAAACACGAGGCAGGCTTGGCTAGTGGTGGAATATTTTTACTGAATCAATTGATGCGAGGGAAGCTTCAAACAGGAGTCATCCCTTCATAGAGTTCATGCAGATGCGGGGGCGGTCGGGTGGCCTAGTGGTTAAAACGGTCGCTCGTCTCGCCGAAGACCCGGGTTCGATTCCCCACATGGGTACAATGGGTGATGCCCATTTCTGGTGTCCCCAGCCATGATATTGCTGTAATATTGCTTAAAGCGGCGTAAAACCATACTCACTCACTCATGCAGATGCATGTGGAGGGAAGATTAAAGAGGGCCAAATAGCTAATCAGAGGACAGGTAGCGTCTGACCTACATGTGTGAAAGGAAGATGCTAAACAGTTGATTAGAGGCGGTGGATGTATGTAAAATAGATGGGGGATGAAGCTGGTACGACCACAGTGGCTGCACAGGGTATCACAGCATAGTTGTTAGTTGGCTGATATTCGACCACAGACAAGGACAACATTGATGGACACAACATTAAATGATGGTGGTGGATATAAATGGACATGTGTAGATGTAGACTATGCAGCGATGAGAGGGTGGCACTTCTGTGGTCAACTCCGAGTTAGTACCAACACCCGGCCTAAAAAAACTATACAAAAGAAATTGTCAATAAAATCATGAACAGAACTTATCCATAAACGTATTTATGTAGTTCTGCGCCATGACTGACATTTATATATTTAGGTATTTTTTTACTAAAAGCCTAGGCAAGTCTAGATCAAACTAACCAAGTCTAGTTTGCTTGATTCCACAGCAGACGAGGAAAGGTTCTTTGGAAGAAAAAAAATATTTTAAAGAAATGTTTTCATTGACTTAGTGTTAGTCTAGTATTTATCCGCTATTGCCTCGTTCAGTCCCACAACCAAACACAAGAATATATGACTCTCTGATGGGTGTGTATAGTTATGTTTGAAGCTCTCTTAGAGACTCTAATGGAGGCTAGGCGTGAGGCAATCTATCCAGTCTAAACAAGTCGGCTAGTGTAAACACTGAATACTGAAGGTGAGATTACTCAATACAGTCGGTATCGGGCGACACACAAACACGTGTTCTCTACCCGGAAGTCGTCTGCTCGGCGCATGTTACAGCAGACATATGCATGCCCCTGCTTATACGTAGTAGCGTGGAGGTGAATGGCGATTGTCCCCGAGCGAATTAGATCGCGATTTACAACTGACGTGCGAGGGGAAGTATGTCTAACGTGCATTTGCAGCGTGTGTACAGACATATCTTATTTGAGACATAGTTTACAAGTTTGCATTGTGTTTTAACCATTACGGTGTTCCAAGGTCATTTATTGGCCAAATGTTAAATATATTACCCACTTAGTCGAGTTAATGTTTACTTTAAATATAATGGACACTTCAATAAACATTATTCTCTCTCATATCCCTTAATGTACATCGTATATGAAACCATATTAAAAAAATTTAAACCGGTTCGACATATACAAATACATTTAAACTATGTATATTATATTTTCTGATGGTGGCTCTGATTCGTCGGAGGGGCGGTCGGGTAGCCTAGTGGTTAAAGCGTTCGCTCGAGACGCCGAAGACCCGGGTTCGATTCCCGACATGGGTACAATGTGTGAAGCCCATTTCTGGTGTCCCCCGCCGTGATATTGCTGGAATATTGCTAAAAGCTGCGTAAAACCATACTCACTCACTCACTCTGATTCGTCGGATCCGTAAACCCAAACATGAAAAGTGTCGCCCAATGGTCAAAGATGTTTTAATTATAAAGACTTACAATTTCGATATATCAGTAAAAATGTGTATCTCGAATTCAACATTAACGTGTTTTCAATATGAAGTCATGACTGGGTAGTCGGAACGTGTTCGATTAAAAGACGTATTCGGAATATCCGAGTTAGTTTAGTCATAAATGTAACCATGAATCGAGTAATTACCTGTACGGAAGTGTCATGTATTGTGTCGTCATCAGGGTGAAATGTGCGATCTTACATTGTTTTGTATTCCATGATGAACCATGTACATACGTGGGAGGTAAACAGATCAGCTCATTGCCAACGATCGACCGTACTCAAGAACTTTATGTTCACTGGGGAACAAGTATTTAACTTGTCTGGGCTAGTGTCACCTTGACCCGACAGAAGTCCGTCACTACCGACAAGTGAAATAGGTCACGTTTTTTCCCACACTAGTAGCAAGTACCCTTTGTCGCGGGATCTTCCTACTGTAATACACCCGGCATCGTAACACCCTGAAATATGATAGTTTGTTTTGTACGAAAGAATGTTATGTGTGATCCTTGACAGACCCGTGAAGATCCGGGTTAGAATAGGTCTTCAGCAACCCTTGCTTGCCGTAAGAGGCGACCATGCTTGTCGTAGGAGGCGACTAACGGGATCGGGTGGTCAGGCTCGCTGACTTGGTTGATGGTTGATGGTTGATCGTTCACTCTACAAGCAAGAGGTCGGAATTCGATTCTCCCCATACACTCAATCCTAATTTTAGAAGCTGATGCACGTCTATTATATCTCGCCTGTCGCATTTCACAACTCACATCCTGTATGTATTGCAACATAATATTCAGGTTAGTAAGTAAACTACCGGACAAAAGAATGTTCACACCAATGGTGGCTTAAATGAAACAAACAAGATATAGTTGCTCGATGATAATGCATTGATACGGGTATCATAGTTATGTTTTGGGCCTTAATTGCAGCGTTTCGGGGACTGTTTTCAGCCGACAACGTTTTGATAATGTTTGTAATTTTGGGGTCAAATCAAATTGTCAAGTGTATACTTTCTTTTGTCCGGTAGTTTATATCTTCATATCGGTACAAATATTGTGAATAATATTTATATGGATTGTATGGGTAATAGAAATTAGCAGACTACGGACATGACGAACCGATCCGTCAATCACCTCGAGTTCGCTGCAACCGTGTCATCACTGATTTTCATTGGTCCATTCTTATAATTTTCGCAGCAACTTTTACGCCAAATTTTAATCTGTTTCGTCTGATAATCTAGACTGGTTATTCCCATGCATTGACAATGTATATTCCTGTTAAGCATACTGCAAAAGTTGGGCCTTAATTGCTTGATAACGGTGTTAGAATCTACACCGAAACGTCGCCCAATTGTAATAAAGAAGTTGCTCATCCATAACAATTTTGTCTTAATGTATATTCCTATTAAGCATACTACTGCAACAGTTACCTAAATCTTACGACTTCTCTGTTTTGTGTAGGATAAAAAGGAAAAGAAGGACAAAAAGACCAAGAACAATAAGAAAAATAAGTCGAAAAATGATTTGGACGAAACTGGATTCGATGACATCCCGTTGGGAAACCGGAAGTTGAACACGGAGTCCCTGGATACTGGAATCTACCTGGAGGATGGGTCCTCGGCGTCCCGCGTTACCGGGGCAACGTCCGATTACTCCCTCGCGTCACGTGACAAGTCTCAGGTAATTATACAGATTCGGATATTTTATTTCTCTTTTAACTACCACAGGTGGTAGACGAGTAATAAAATAATTAATAAAATATTATGTGAACATCGGCGTGTGACGTTGATGGGGTACAGCCGCGTAGACTTGTTTGTTTGTTTGTTTGTTTGTTGTTTAACGCCACAATGAGCAATATATTCCAGCTGTATGACGGCCATCTGTAAATAATCGAATGAAACCGACAATCCAGTGATTGACATCATGAGCGTCAATCTGCATCATCTAAGTCTGTCGGCCTGATCACCCGATCCCGTTAGTCGTGTCTTACGGCAAGCATAGTCGCAAGACAAGCATGGGTTGGTGAAGACCAGTTCTAATCCGGATTTTCACGAGTGTGTAGACTTGTGCGGAATATGTACTAGTATTTGGGTATACAGAAAAGCCGTTGTTGATGAGAGGGTGGCACTTATGTGGTCAACTCTCACGCATCTCTAACGTGCATTTGTTGCGTGTGTACCGACAAATCTTATTTGAGACATATTTTACAAGTTTGCATTGTGTTTTAACCATTACGGTGTTTCAAGGCCATTTATTGGCCAAATGTTATATATATTACCCATTTAGACGAGTTAATGTTAACTTTAAATATAATGGGAAACTTCAATAAACATTATTCTCTCTTAAATTTCATTTTTATCTCCCGTAATGCACATCGTATATGAAACCATATTAAAAATTTAAACCGGTTCGACATATACAAATACATTTAAACTTTGTATATTATATTTTCTGATGGTGGCTCTGATTCGTCGGAGGGGCGGTCGGGTAGCCTAGTGGTTAAAGCGTTCGCTCGTCACGCCGAAGACCCGGGTTCGATTCCCGACATGGGTACAATGTGTGAAGCCCATTTCTGGTGCCCTCCGCCGTGATATTGCTGGAATATTGCTAAAAGCTGCGTAAAACCATACTCACTCACTCACTCACTCTGATTCGTCGGATCCGTAAACCCAAACATGAAAAGTGTCGCCCAATTGTCAAAGATGTTTTAATCATAAAGACTTACAATTTCGATATATCAGTAAAAATGTGTATCTGGAATTCGACATTAACGTGTTTTCAATATGAAGTCATGACTGGGTAGTCGGAACGTGTTCGATTAAAAGACGTATTCGGAATATCCGAGTTAGTTTAGTCATAAATGTAACCATCAATCGAGTAGTTACCTGTACGGAAGTGTCATGTATTGTGTCGTCATCGTGGTTTTCACGAGTGTGTAGACTTGTGCGGAATATGTACTAGTATTTGGGTATACAGAAAAGCCGTTATTTGAGCGTAATGGTAAACTGTCGTAATGTGTTATGTATTTCATTTCAGCAACATTTCCTTATGTCATGCTGTGTGATACAGTACCATTCAACTGATATCAGGGCATCGGGTAGCCTAGTGGTTAAAGCGTTCGCTCGTCACACTAAATACCCGGGTTCGAATCCCGACATAGGTATAATGTGTGAAGCCCATTTCTGGTGTCCCCCGCCGTTATATTGCTGGAATAGTTCTAAAGCGGCGTAAAACCATATTCACTCACTCACTCAACTGATATGAGTGATTGAGTAGGGTCTTACGCCGCTTTAAACAATATTTATAGCGCGGTATGCAGTTTATAACCTTGGGAAAACCCCATAACCACAGGCAGGGTACTGGCAGACCAAGAATCTTTATCAGGGAAAATCGGAACTTACAATAGCAGGATTCTGACACGCCCAAGGGACGCAATTCTGCACAGCGAAAGCACACACACACACACACACACACACACACTCTCTCTCTCTCTCTCTCTCTCTCACACACACACACACACACACACACACACAAATAAATCAACACACACACAAGACACACACAGACACGAACACAAACACAAACAAACACCCACAGACATACACAAATACACACACAGACACACAGACACACACACAAAAACACAATCACACACAAACACACAAAAGGTACGACACTTGATCCACGTCATCGCAGTGGAAGCTGGCCTCCCATTCCCCCCACAGTCACGTGACACTGAAAGATCGTACGCGTGTCGCGTCGATTGTCGAACTTCGATACGTTAACATACTAACGTATTCTAACGACATTGTGGTGATTGGTTGGCCACACCTGCAGCTGCAGTTCTGGGAAATGTTAGGACGTGAGGTTTGTCTTTGGTACACTGAGCAGATGTTGATGCTCTCACCGAAAACCTCAGGTTGGTATGTATTTTATAGGGCTTCGAACGCTGTCGTTGTAAAACTTAACAGTATCCCAAGTAATTCACATAGACTTGGTACGAAACAACGCGACTGAGTGGTCTGTCATTCTCGGTCGTCAAACCCTTGACAGGACTGGTGTATCTTTCTGTGCATTGAAGTTACCATCATCCATTGTGAGTATATGGCCGTTATTCATCAACTGATCGGCTTGTATGCAGTTGTGATTGACAAGATTCAGGAAAAACATGGCAAATATGCAGACCTCGCTTTCGAAATGTCACTCTTGCATCCCAAGTACCAAGTCGTCCGACTCCCGATTGTTCTCGGTGCCTTAGGTTTGGTACCTCCCAATCTGTTGACTGACATTGGGAGAGTACCCGGGTTTGCTACCAGGAATACAGCCCTTCTGACAATCTGGGTAATGCAGAAGGCTGCAGTGTTGGGGAGTCTTCACATTCTCTGAAAAGTTCTGGGTGGGTTTGACTAGGCAGCGCCTCCTGGGAGAAGTCCCATTCGCTGTCTGGGCTGCGTGTAGAGGGGGCAAGGGTCCTGAGCTGATGATGAGCCTAACCAGCCTGACTGTGCCAGGATCACCCAACCCTCTTTGCTGCATGTTTTATCTTAATCTGTACATAATCATAATAGTAATGGGTATATGTATATTATTGTTGATGCGCTACATTACATTATCCATGGATCAGTATGCACTCGACTTTCATTTGTGTTACTAGGCCATACCACTTCCCTCACTGTAACTTGACAGAACCTGGCCAGTCTCGACTTCCACAGCACCGATGACCAGATATATAAATAATAATATAAATTTTCACTCATACAGCATAACACAGTTTCTAAGCACACAGTGCATCATGAACAGTGAACATTCGCGGCTCCCTTGGGAATATACAATTAAAACAAGTACCTTTACAGCAGGCATGACCGCATCAGGGCTAAAAGAAGGCGATGTTGTCTGTTAGCGCAAGGGTCTTAACAGCGTCATGGCTGCGCGTCTCTCAGGATGCATAAATCAGGAGGAGACAACCAGTGGTCCAGTGGGCGGATGGAGTTACATACTCCATCACGTCTTCCTGTATCATACCCGTATCCTGTGATGATACTGTGACTATAATACACCATATCAACAGGATCCTGTTTCAGTGTCGAGTGACAGTGGGGGGAATGGGAGGCCGCACTGCCAGCTTCCACCGCGATGACGTGGATCAAGTGTCATACCTTGACTTTTGTGTGTTTGTGTGTGATTGTGGGTTTTTGTGTGCGTGTGTGTGCGTGCGTGCGTGCGTGCGCGCGCGCGCGCGCGTGTGTGTGTGTGTGTGTTCGTGTGTGTGTGTGTGTGTGTGTGTGTGTGTGTGTGTGTGTGTGTGTGTGTGTGTGTGTGTGTGTGTGTGTGTGTGTGTGTGTGTGTGTGTGTGTGTTCGTGTCTGTGTGTGTCTTGTGTGTTTTGTGTGTGTCGCTGCGCAGAGTTGCGTCCCCTGGGCGTGTCAGAATCCTGCTATTGTAAGTTCCGATTTTCCCTGATAAAGGTTCTTGGTTTGCCAGTACCCTGCCTGTGGTCATGGGGTTTCCCCAAGGTTATAAACTGCATACCGCGCTATAAATATTGTTCAAAGCGGCGTAAAACCCTACCCAATCACACATGTCAGTTGAGCGAGTGAGTGAATATGGTTTTACGCCGCTTTTAGCAATATTCCAGCAATATCACGGCGGGGGACACCAGAAATGGGCTCACATTGTACCCATATCGGGAATCGAACCCGGGTCTTCGGCGTGACGAGCGAATGCGTTAACCACTAGGCTACCCGACCGCCCCTATAATAATATGACTGACTAACTGAGTATGGTTTTACGCCGCTTTTAGCAATATTCCAGCAATATAACGGCGGAGGATACCAGAAATGGGCTCACATTGTACCCATATCGGGAATCGAACCCGGGTCTTCGGCGTGACGAGCGAATGCGTTAACCACTAGGCTACCCGACCGCCCCTATAATAATATGACTGACCAACTGAGTATGGTTTTACGCCGCTTTTAGCAATATTCCAGCAATATCACGGCGGGGGACACCAGAAATGGGCTTCACACATTGTACCCATGTCGGGAATCGAACCCGGGTCTTCGGCGTGACGAGCGAACGCTTTAACCACTAGGCTACCCGACCGCCCCTATAATAATATGACTGACTGACTGAGTATGGTTTTACGCCGCTTTTAGCAATATTCCAGCAATATCACGGCGGGGGACACCAGAAATGGGCTTCACACATTGTACCCATGTCGGGAATCGAACCCGGGTTTTTGGCGTGACGAGCGAACGCTTTAACCACTAGGCTACCCGACCGCCCCTATAATAATGTGATATATGTGGTGCGCCTTATCCAATCCTAAAGCGTTACATTATTACCCCGGCCGCGTCATACCAAAAGACGTTAAAAGATGGTACTTGTTGTTACCCTGTCTGGCGCTCGGCATTAAGGGGCTAAAACAAGGACTGGTCGGCTCGGAGTCAGTATACTGTGTCTGAGTGGGGTATTCATGTTAAACTGCGGCATGGTATCCCAGTCAGCTAGCACTATAAATCGGCATCAGTTCGGACTAGTACAAGCGGCCACACAAACACACACACATGCACGTCGCTATATAAGTGCAATAATCTTGGACGCGACGTTAAACCCCATTTCACCTCACCTCACCTCAAATTCTATCTCCCTGGGAAGTACACAACCCATCCCAATAAGACGCTGGAACTTTAACATCCTACCGGGTACCCATTTACTGCTGAGGGAACAGAAGCATGTTTCGAACAAGCAATCCTCCTCAATGTTTCCGACTCCGTGTTTCAGAGTTCCCACAACGGGAACAGCGTCTACGGCGCCAACAGCCGCACCCAGATATTCGGCGAGGATGAAAACGAGGAGCGGGGCAACTGGACGGGGAGGTTCGACTTCATCCTGTCCATGCTGGGGTATGCGGTGGGGCTGGGGAATGTATGGCGCTTCCCCTATCTCTGCTACAGGAACGGGGGCGGGGCGTTCCTTCTCCCCTTCCTCTTGATGATGGCCATTGTGGGGGTACCGCTGTTCTTCCTCGAGGCCTCCCTGGGGCAGTTCTGTAGCAGCGGACCGATGACCTGCTGGATGTTCGCCCCGTTGTTTAAAGGTAACATTGTTGACATCGATGGTCGGAATATTGGAATAGCTTGTCATCATGTAAAGGGACATTCACACTGTGCAACTAGTTGTATACAATTTGTTGCATGCAACAAGTCGGGCCAACTTTTGAGGCATGCAACTTGTTGGATGTGAGTTTTACGGAGTAGGACATGCTTTATTTTCATGCGACAAGTTGTATACAACTAGTTGTACCGTGTGAAAGTCCATCAACACACTCTCGTCACACTGCTGTTTCCACTGCGAGATAACATTAAACATCGAAACCTCGAAGTCCTTGAGTCTATCGGATGTATATATAGAGGTATTTGAGAGTGTCTTGGGGTGGTAAATGTCCCTTATGGGGAAAGATTTGTGTTTGGCGAGCCTGTGCAAACTGAATTCGTAGTCTCTATACCTAACAAAGGATATTTACCGGATATTTACCATCCCAAGACACACAAACGTGATAACCTCTTTATGATAGAATGCCATTCTTAATTCTCTAAAACCTTACCAACACATGGCCAGTTTCCTAGACATGGCGCATTAATATATTACACCACAAGGGTAGTGATTAGTCAGTCGGACTGTCACAACAGGCATTATATATAGTTCCAACTGCAGCCATTCGGTATCTGAGACTATTATTTTAATAAAGATAATAGAAAAAATAGTATGATGTGTCAATTCTGACTCGATCGCTGATAGACAAGGGCGACGCCATGTTTGTTTGTAAACACTGAAAGTAGTACCTATCTGACCTTTCATATTTGCATATTTATCCGTACTTGACCCAATGGATACCGTTTTTATCCGTTAGCTTTATCCTGCGAACCCACCACTTATGTGACTATTCAAGTTATGCCTAGTTCGAGTATTGATGTTAGACTACAGTGTCGATAAGGAGTCTATCGGTCTAAAGGTGCGTCACCTGACAAGACAGGTCAAGTTAATGGAGGCGTGGCCAGTGTGGTTTAATTGAAGCGAAAAATGCATCAACCCTTTTAATCTGTTAACTAAAGAATGGCATTTTAAGGTACGTCATTACGGGAACCCTTTGACTCTGACTTTGACTTGTTGACCTCTTTAATTACTTCTTTGAGGTTGTTTGCTTATACAGTAAACTACGGTTATAACGAACACGCTTATAACGAACTGACGGATATAACGAACTTACTTTTTGGCCCCGACTACTTGCTGTAGTCATGCTGTATATGTACTTATAACGAACTACGGTTAAAACGAACTAAAATTAGTAGTCCCTTTGATTTCGTTATAACCGTAGTTTACTGTATTTCATCATGCAGGGATCGATCATTCAATATTTCTCCTTTTTATTATATTTATATTTTCATTTCCGTTCCGATGTTCTGATAATGCTTTCACTGCCGTATGCATAATGTGTAGAGAAGTATATTTATGACGCAGTAGAGTTTGTGAACAAAGCCGTGTACAGCTATGTGTATATAATATATATATATATATATATGGATATAAATGTGTACATACAGATATAAACAGATATATATCGACATGAGCAAAATCTATACAAAATATGAACTGTTTAACACATGTGATGCGGTGTTTCAGGAGTGGGTATAGCTATGGTCGTCGTGTCCGCTCTGACCAGTATCTACTACAACATGATCCTAGCCTGGTCCCAGTTCTATCTGTTCGCCTCCTTCACCAGTGAGCTGCCGTGGAAGACGTGTGACAACGCCTGGAACACCCATGGTAATGACAGACACCCGACTCACTCACTCACTCACTCACTCACTCACTCACTCACTCACTCACTCACTCACCCCAACCCACTCACCCACCCACTCACTCACTCACTCACTCACTCACTCACTCACTCACTCACTCAAACACCCACCCACCCACCCACTCACTCACTCACTCACTCACTCACTCACTGCAGACACTGCCGGCGCACAGGTTTCCCAGTTGTCTAAGGCGCCGCAATTCCCTGTGTGGAGTTGCGTCCCTTGGGCTCGCCAGAAACCTATTATTGTGGGTTCGAATCCCGGTTCGCCTCGATTATGTTTCTAGGTTTGTCAGCACCATACCCGTGCTCGTGGGTTTCACCGAAGTGGTAAACGTCTGAGACCTGTACACTTCGGGCTTTCCTCCCACATTAAGCTGGCACGCCGTAATACAACTGGAATACTTTTAAAAGCGGCGTTAAACCCAACTCACTCACTCACTCACTACAAACACTGCCATGGTTCATCGCCTTTTTGGGTCGGGTAGCCTAGTGGTTGAAGCGTTCGCTCGTCACGCCGAAGACCCGGGTTCGATTCCCGACATGGGTACATTGTGTGAAGCCTATTTCTGGTGTCCCTCGCCGTGATATTGCTGGATTATTGCTAAAAGCGGCGTAAAACCATACTCACTCACTCATCGCCTTTGGAATGTTGTTTAGAAAAAAACAATGCATCCTGAAATCCAAGATGGCTGCCATTTGTCAACATGGCTACCTTTTCGACAAGATGGCAACTATTTTTCCAAGACGATCGCCAATTTTAAATAAATGTCTATTTTTACCCGTGAAGGGTTGGAATAGATCTTCATCAACCCATGCATGCCATAAAAGGCGACTATGCTTGTCGTAATTGGCGGCTAACGGAATCGGATGGTCAAGCTCGCTGATGCATGTCATGAATGCAAACTTTGATCTCATCCCAGACTGCAGTTTGAAGTTGCCGAAGGTGACCTGCGCTGACGGGGACGTGTACAACAACGGCACCTGCTACGAGAAGGGTGAATTCGTGGGGTTATGGAACGTAACTCTATTTCAAGACAGCACTGGCCGGAAGAGGGCGCTCCCATCAGAAGAGTACTGGACGTAAGTGTTGAGATGTTTCCGACAGAAATATGCAAACATACATAAATATTAATTATAGCGATTTTCCTTGTAAAAAATATTGTTATTCTATTCATTTTCGATTTGAAAAATGTATTTGTGCACTTAAACAAAAACATATTGTTTCTTATGAATGCTTAGTGTGGACTCAAAATTATTTGAAAATAAAAAGGAAATAATTTATTTACAAGTAGCCGGTATTAATGTACAGTTAGGAGATGGTTAGTCGACGTGTAACGGGACTGATCGTGTCCTAGGCCGCCATGTGAAGGAATTGTGACCACATGGCAATCAATAAGGTTGTGTTCACTGAAGCATGTCCTCTGTGTCAACAAAACAGGACGTGGATAAAGGGTCCCGAAAAAAATCTAAAATCGCTATTGTAGATTGTTATATAGTGTTTTACAGTACACAACTTCAGTTGTGTTTGAATGGTTCGTGTGTGGACATGTCCCTTTCTACGTGTAGAGTATGAGTAAATTTAAAATTCATTGAACTTTTTTTTTGCTCTTTGTTATGTATGTATTACAAACACAACACAGGGAACAAAGGAAACAAGTTTGTTTGGAGTTTTTTGTTTATCACCGCACTCAGCAATATTCGAGCTATATGACGGCGGTCTGTAAATAATCGAGTCTGGTCCAGACAATCCAGTGATTGACATTATGAGCATCGATCCATGCAATTTGGATACGATGGCATGCATCAACCCAGTCAGCGAGCCTGACCACCCGATCCCATTTGTCGCCTCTTACGACAAACATTGTCGCCTTTTACGGCAAGCATGGGTTGCTGAAGACCTTATTCTACCCCGGATCTTCAGGGTCTAGGCAACAACTGCCTCTACGTAACCTACGCGTTATCTCATTCATTCATGAGTGAGTGAGTATGGTTTTACGCGCTTCTAGCAATATTCAAGCAATATCACGGCGGTGGACACCAGAAATGGCCGTCACACTTTGTTCCTATGTGGGGAATCGAACCCGGGTCTTCGGCTTGACGAGCGAACGCTTTAACCACTAGGCCAATAAACGTAACCCCAACATGACACAATATCATTAACAGGCCCTACGGATTCACCTCTATTGAAGTGATTGTAATCATGTTATCATGCTTCTCCATTAGAATACATTTACCCTTGAAATGTTTGCGATTCTTGCGTATGTTCAAGGAACCACGCCCTTAAGATGTCAGACAGTATTGACGATTTTGGATTACCCGACTGGAGGCTTGTTCTGAACCTGATGCTAGCCTGGGTCATCTGCTTCTTCTGCCTCATCAAGGGCATCAAGACAACTGGCAAGGTACGTCGCCGCATCTGGGTGAAGAGATGTAGGGACTCTTTCCCTTTGTTCCTGTAGGAGATCGCCGTACGTTGTTCTGTGTTTCTGTTTCCTGTGGGGGCACGGGTGGCCCAGTCGTCTAAAGCGCAGCGATTCACTGTGCAGAGTTGCGTCCCTTGGGCACGCCAGAAACCTATGATTGTAGGTTCGAATCCCGGTTCGCCTCGATTATGTTTCTAGGTTTGTCAGCACCATACCCGTGCTCGTGGGTTTCACCGAAGTGGTAAACGTCTGAGACCTCAATCACTTCGGGCTTTCCTCCCACATTAGTCTGACACGACGTGATATGACTGGAATACTGTTAAAAGCGGCGTTGAACCCAACTCACTCACTCACCTCTGTGTCGTGTAGTTAAAGATTTCTCAAATTGTCATTATTTTCCAATTCCCTATGCTTAACGAGAGAACCTTTGTCTTGAAAAATAAGGACCTTGAGACATTGTTATTTTGACTAGTACCACATGTTCCCGTGTGGTTTAAGGTGAACAATTGACTTGCCTTTGCATGTGTTTGTGACGGGCCATTCCGCGAACACCTGGTGTCATCACTACTTGATGTGATCTTTGGAGATTATATTTATATAATTATTCAGCTGCTGACTAACTCTCTTCTAGGTTGTCTACTTCACCGCCATCTTCCCATACGTCGTCTTGCTTATACTGTTTTTCCGCGGAGTAACATTGCCGAACGCTTCCGAAGGAATCTACTACTTCATAGTGCCGGACTTTGCCAGACTTGGTGACGCCAGGGTAGGCCCTGTGTATTTGTGACGGTGTGGTGGGGCACATGCTGTATACACGTGTGTGTGTGTGCATGTATGCATGACAGTCTGAATGTGTGACTTTGTAACGGTGTAAATGTGCGATGCTGTGCACTTGTGTAAATGTGTGATGCTGTGCACTTGTGTAAATGTGTGATGCTGTGCACTTGTGTAAATGTGTGATGCTGTGCACTTGTGTAAATGTGTGATGCTGTTTGCGATGCTGTGCACTTGTGTAAATGTGTGACTCTGTGCACTTGTGTAAATGTGTGATGCTGTGCACTTGTGTAAATGTGTGATGCTGTGCACTTTTGTAAATGTTTTATGGTGAAATAAACCATGCTTCGTTCATCATTGTTCTTTGCGATTTATCGCGTAGCTACCTCAGATAATTCATAAATTATACTGGCCATGAACATCTGTTCTGCATTATCAAAGTGATGACACCTCAAACAGGAACACCTATTTACCGTAAATCATGAAAAAAAATGTTTGTGGCCTTTTCTCGCATTAATTAAGTGTCGCGTTAATTTCATGATTTACATTACAGCGTGGGTCAAATGCAATTGACTATCCCTTCTACAGCTACTACTTTTAACTACTGAACACACGCCAACGCTTGCTGTATCTGTTCCCACATTGTGTTGTTTCCAGGTATGGAAGGACGCCGCCAACCAGATATTCTTCTCCATGTCCATAGCAGGCGGAGGCCTGGTCACGTTGTCCAGTTACAACAGGTTCCACAATAACATCATCAGGTGGGTTCTCGGTTCTCGCGCCCCGTGGCGGCTACCTCCGGCGGCTACCTGTAAATATATACCAGTCCTAGTTGTGGTGCAGCTTTCTCGCGGGGATGTCACTCTAAGCGAAGGCGCCGTAACTCTCTGAAGAGTTGCGTCCCTTGGCGGACAGGATCCGTTGGTGGTGCTTTGAAATCCAGATCTGCTTCGATGATTTTTCTATGAGGCCAAAGGCCCTAGGCCTATACGACGTGATATAACTGAAATACTGGACCAGACAACCCAGTGATTTACATCATGAGCATATATCTATACAATTAGGATACAATGACATGCATCAACCAAGTCAGCGATCCTGACCACCCGATCCCGTTCTTCGCCCCTTACGACAAGCACAGTCGCCTTTTACGGCAAGCATGGGTTACTGAAGACCTATTCTACCCCGATTTTTCTACCCGGACATTCTACCTCGATTATGTACTGTTGGCCTTTGGCATCATGAGTCTCATAGAATAGATATCGATTAACTGACCATCAAGCAGCAAACACATGCTTTAAAAGTTGGGAGAACAGTCGACTGGAAGAAAGGAAATATCATTTAATCTTGGAATATGAGAATCTTACTATGTTTCTTGGCCGAACATATTACGTTACATCATTAACAAACGAATGTCCTTGTGTCATATTTCTGTATAACATCCTCTTCGGTATCATCTTGAACCAATGGAATCAACGAAGACGCGTCTTCCTGTCTGTTGCAGAGACTCCATCATCGTATCCCTCGGGGACTCCATCACATGCATCTTCGCCGGCTTTGTCATCTTTTCCTACCTTGGCTACATGGCCGGCAAGCTGGGAGTCGACATTAAGGATGTCGCTACAGACGGTCAGTAGGACGGTCTTAGAACCAGGGTGCAATCAAAGACGGTCAGTAGACAGTCTTAGAACCAGGGTGCAATCACAGGCGGTCAGTAGACAGTCTTAGAACCAGGGTGCAATCAAAGACGGTCAGTAGGGCAGACTTAGAACCAGAGGGTGAAATCATAGGCGGTCAGTAGACAGTCTTAGAACCGGGGTGAAGTCACAGGCGGTCAGTAGACAGACTTAGAACCAGAGGGTGAAATTACAGGCGGTCAGTAGGGCAGACTTAGAACCAGAGGGTGAAATCACAGGCGGTCAGTAGACAGACTTAGAACCAGAGGGTGAAATCACACGCGATCAGTAGACAGACTTAGAACCAGGGTGCAATCACAGGCGGTCAGTAGACAGACTTAGAACCGGGTGAAATCACAGGCGGTCAGTAGACAGACTTAGAACCGGGTGAAATCACAGGCGGTCAGTAGACAGACTTAGAACCGGTGTGCAATCATAGACGGTCAGTAGACAGACTTAGAACCAGGGTGCAATCACAGGCGGTCAGTAGACAGACTTAGAACCAGGGTGCAATCACAGGCGGTCAGTAGACAGACTTAGAACCAGGGTGCAATCATAGACGGTCAGTAGGGCAGACTTAGAACCGGGTGAAATCACAGGCGGTCAGTAGACAGACTTAGAACCAGGGTGCAATCATAGACGGTCAGTAGACAGACTTAGAACTGGGTGAAATCACAGGCGGTCAGTAGACAGACTTAGAACCAGGGTGAAATCACAGGCGGTCAGTAGACAGACTTAGAACCAGGGTGCAATCATAGACGGTCAGTAGACAGACTTAGAACCAGGGTGCAATCATAGACGGTCAGTAGGGCAGACTTAGAACCAGAGGGTGAAATCACAGGCGGTCAGTAGGACGAGCTTAGAACCAGGGTCCAAACAAAGACGGTCAGTAGACAGACTTTGAACCAGAGGGTGAAATCACAGGCGGTCAGTAGACAGTCTTAGAACCGGGGTGAAATCACAGACGGTCAGTAGGACGGGCTTAGAACCAGGGTGCAATCAAAGACGGTCAGTGGGGCAGACTTAGAACCAGAGGGTGAAATCATAGGCGGTCAGTAGGACGGGCTTAGAACCAGGGTGAAATCACAGACGGTCAGTAGGACGGGCTTAGAACCAGGGTGCAATCAAAGACGGTCAGTAGACAGACTTAGAACCAGGGTGCAATCACAGGCGGTCAGTAGACAGACTTAGAACCAGGGTGCAATCACAGGCGGTCAGTAGACAGACTTAGAACCAGGGTGCAATCATAGACGGTCAGTAGGGCAGACTTAGAACCGGGTGAAATCACAGGCGGTCAGTAGACAGACTTAGAACCAGGGTGCAATCATAGACGGTCAGTAGACAGACTTAGAACTGGGTGAAATCACAGGCGGTCAGTAGACAGACTTAGAACCAGGGTGAAATCACAGGCGGTCAGTAGACAGACTTAGAACCAGGGTGCAATCATAGACGGTCAGTAGACAGACTTAGAACCAGGGTGCAATCATAGGCTGTCAGTAGACAGACTTAGAACCGGGTGAAATCACAGGCGGTCAGTAGGACGGGCTTAGAACCAGGGTGCAATCACAGGCGGTCAGTAGACAGACTTAGAACCGGGTGAAGTCACAGGCGGTCAGTAGGGCAGGCTTTGAACCAGAGGGTGAAATCACAGGCGGTCAGTAGGACGGGCTTAGAACCAGGGTGCAATCATAGGCTGTCAGTAGACAGACTTAGAACCGGGTGAAATCACAGGCGGTCAGTAGGACGGGCTTAGAACCAGGGTGCAATCAAAGACGGTTAGTAGGGCAGACTTAGAACCAGAGGGTGAAATCACAGGCGGTCAGTAGGACGGGCTTAGAACCAGGGTGCAATCAAAGACGGTCAGTAGACAGACTTAGAACCGGGGTGAAGTCACAGGCGGTCAGTAGGACGGGCTTAGAACCAGGGTGCAATCATAGGCGGTCAGTAGACAGACTTAGAACCGGGATGAAGTCACAGGCGGTCAGTAGACAGTCTTAGAACCGGGTGAAATCACAGGCGGTCAGTAGACAGACTTAGAACCGGGTGAAATCACAAGCGGTCAGTAGACAGACTTAGAACCGGGGTGAAATCACAGGTGGTCAGTAGACAGACTTAGAGCCAGGGTGCAATCATATGCGGTCAGTAGGACGGGCTTAGAATCAGGGGGCAATCATAGGCTGTCAGTAGACAAAGTTAGAACCGTGGTGAAATTACAGGCGGTCAGTAGACAGACTCAGAACCAAGGTATAGAAACATAGACGGGACAGAGGTCCCAGATCACATGATGTAACATTTAACCGGACATCGACACTTGTGATCATAATAATTGTAATCAGTAAGAGCAGATGTAGGACCTGTATCTGTTTCAGGTGCGGGTCTGGCGTTCACCGTGTACCCAGAGGCAGTGTCCAGCCTCCCTCCATCCACGCTGTGGTCCATCCTCTTCTTCTTCATGTTGATCACTCTGGGCCTCGACAGTCAGGTGGGTGATCAGCCATTACACAAGTTGCTTGTCCGGTTCTACCTTTAGTGCTGTGTATATCGAGAAGCTCACACCAGTGAGATAAAAGTTATAAACTTTTAGCGACGATATTTGATGTCAAAAGACACGAGGATGAAATTCTATTTATCATCCAAAACTGGCTCCCACAGGAGATATCGCTTGGATTAGATCAAGCGATATCTACACTGTAGATATCGCAGCAATGAAATGACATCACAATGCTTTGCAGACCATTGTGACGTCACCGGTTACCATGACGTCACAATCAAATGACATCACTAATGGCTCTGCTACTGAAGCTGTTAGCAGTACATTTTACACTGAAAACACTGCTAATTACTGTCTACAAATTGAAAAAATTGGAAGAATGATGTTAGATGATAAATAAAATCTCACTCTCGTGTCTTTTGATATCAAATATATCAACACTCGTTGATAAAAGTGGTAAAAATCCTCGGCAAGCCTCGGAATTTTGCCACTTTTATCAACTCGTGTTGATATATTTGATATTAAAAGACACTCGGGTGAGATTCTCTATTTATCATCCAAAACTGTCTACCACATCAGATATCGCTTTGGTGTACCTACATTGTAGATATCGCAGCAATAAAATTGCATCACAATGCTTTGCAGACCACTTTGACGTCATTGGTAACCATAACGTCACACTCAAATGACATCACTGATGGCACTGCTACTGAAAATCATTCTTCCAACTTTTTCAGTTTGTAAACAATAACAACCAGTGTCTTGAGGGTAAATAGACAGCTAACAAGATTCAGTGGCAGAGATATTAGTGACGTAATTTGATTGTGACGTCCTGTAACCGATGACGTCAAAATGTTCTGCAAGGCATTGTGATGCTAATTTTATTGCAACGATATATCCTTCTGGAGACGTCACTTGGTCTCACCCAAACGATATCTCCTGTGGACGCCAGTTTTGGATGGTAAAAAGGTAAAAACCTGCAGCGACTGACTTAGGCCGCGTTCCGCGATATTCTCGCATAGTTAATAGAGATATCGCATAAACATTAATTCAGCGCGATTGAAAATAGCGTACATCTTTCAATAGTTTTATCCGCATTGACACTCTCATCTCCACCTACAAACAGGGGCGGTCGGGTAGCCTAGTGGTTAGAGCGTTGGCACGCCACGCCGGAAACCCGGGTTCGATTCCCGACATGGGTACAATGTGTGAAACCCATTTCTTGTGTCCCCCGCCGTGATATTGCTGGAATATTGCTAAAAGCGGCGTAAAACCATACTCACTCACTCACCTACAAACATCGAAAAAGTCGTATTACTTGAATAAACTTATCTGCTAGGATAATTCTAGGCCCACATTTTCAAATACAATGAGGCATTTTAACATTGTGCTGTATGGGCGTACCTCGGGAATATTTGAAATTTTCACACGCAGGGCCCATGTCAGAAAATTCCTTGAGTGAACCCTGATCTACTGTACCTAAAAATGTCAATTAAAAACTTACTCCATAGTTTCTTCAATCGTCAAAAGTTGTCAATCGAAACACTCGCAACACTGCATGTCATCACTTACTGTGCATTACTGATTCCTATAGCACTGCGTGGAGCTTTGCACTACATGTTTTTATACCTGATTGTCAAGTCGTATTCGGTGATAGTCAAGTCGTCATTAACCGTATCTTCTTGTCGCTTAAATCCTAGCAGAAATCAAGGACGTGCATGTATGTGCATCCGTGCAGAAATCAAGAGAAAAAAGTCAATCACGGGTTAAGTTTCAAAACACAAGCAAATTTCGATTTTGTAATGACAAAACAAAACCTAAAAGAAAATACATACAACTCTATACAAATTTCAGATCAAAAACGATCGTATTTTAGATGAGATTCGCCTAGACTTTAGATAAGACAGCAATGGTTTTTTTTATGAACGTATACCCTCTTGAGAATGGCCAACGTGCTTGAATTACGTACGAATTTTGAACTATTTCTAGTAGCCAAACAGCATGTTGGAGATTTTTTAGAATATGCTACGATATGTTTTCTTCCAGATTTGTCCATATGTATTGAAAACTAACTTAATCATTCAAATGAAACTCATAAACATCATGAATGTCAACAGTCTTTTCAACTTTAGGTTACTCGTAAACATTTTCTGGCTGCAAATGGCAAACATGCCGCCTTCTGTGTGAAATAATTGACTTAATTGTTGCTAATTTAAACAAAAGGGTGAACCTGCGCCAAAATCAATGTATAATGAACTGTCACTTCTTATTAATTAAAAAAGTCCATATTGATAAGATTTCATTTGATACGCTCAGACACCCGGTCTTTGATACAGTACACACTGCAGACACAACAAGACAGTGAAATTGACGAACGCATTGGAATGTAAATTATATATTTTTTGCCAACAAACTGTTACAGCATTTACAACTGCCGCTATTTCATGTCATCGCTTTGAATATATTAAATTACAAATAATAAATTGTTTGTTTCCCGCATGCCAATGAAAGAAACAGCTGATGGTGGTAAACATGCCTTATCTATAATTATTCTCGCCAATAATTCCTCCTAAAGTCGACAATAAACCGAAATACATAAATATTAATGTATTTTCTCCTAAAGTAAGCAAACTACGAATGCATATATTTGTTGATACTAATGCTAATATTTTTAAATATTCACATTCGGATAATTAATGTTCGAAAATATCGATGTATCTATATAATCTAGTAATATTAACTGCAACATAATTCGAGTCACAAATACCGAATATCAAATATAGTTTCCACTGTGGGAAGACAAAATGTCTCTGAAAATTAGCAAAATCTCATCACACGCCAAAAAATCTCATCGCTTTTAGACCAGGGGGGATTTTCTCTCACAGGTAAAACATTCAAGGTTAATCCTTGAACATGTACATACAACTAGCGCAACACTGCATTTAGAATGGCCCAGTCCAAAGTAGTCAGCCATCCATGTCCAGTTATGGGCCCAGTTGCACAAAGCAAGCTTATGTTAAAGTATGGGAATTACGACCACCTTTTCGCTAAGATAGCTTTGTGGATAGAGGCCCTGGTCTGTGTATCGTTTTGGCTCGGAGTATAATGTACATTTTATACAAACCTACATATTGTAAGCTTGGTTGCCATCTACACAGAACCGCAGTAATGTTGTAATTAGTCGTGACATACGTATGTGGGCCTGAGATAAAAGAGTAACGCAATAGACTGGTGTATTCGTCTGTAGTTCGCCATGCTGGAGACGGTGCTGACTGGATGCTTGGACCAGTTCCCCGCACTCAGACCGAAAAAGACCTGGGTGATCCTGGGGATCTGTTTCCTGTTCTTCATACTGGGGCTGCCCCTGACGACACCCGTGAGTACAGGACGTCAACCGTAATTGCTACAACCAACTTACAACCAATTTACAACAAACTCACAACCAATTTACAACCGGCTTACAACCAACACACAACCAACTTACAACCAACCTTCAACCAACTTACACCCATCACACAACCAATCTACAACCGGCTTACAGCCAGCTTACACCCATCACACAGCCAACTTACAACCAACACACAACCAACTTACAACCAACACACAACCACCTTACAACTAGCTTACAATCAACACACAACCAACTTACAACCAACCTACAACCAACACGCAACCAACTTACAACCAACACACAACCATCTTACAACTTGCTTACAATCAACACACAACCAACTTACAACCAACACACAACCAACTTACACCCATCACACAACCAGTTTACAACCGGCTTACAGCCAGCTTACAACCAACACACAACCAACTTACAACCAACACACAACCAACTTACACCCATCACACAACCAGCTTACAACCAACACACAGCCAACTTACAACCAACACACAACCAACTTACAACCAATTTACAACCGGCTTACAGCCAGCTTACACCCATCACACAACCAACACACAACCAACTTACAACCAACACACAGCCAACTTACAACCAACACACAACCAGCTTACAACCAACACACAGCCAACTTACAACCAACACACAACAACCTTACAACTAGCTTACAATCAACACACAACCAACACACAACCAACTTACAACCAACATACAGCCAACTTACAACCAACACACAACCAGCTTACAACCAACACACAGCCAACTTACAACCAACACACAACCACCTTACAACTAGCTTACAATCAACACACAACCAACACACAACCAGCTTACAACTAGCTTACAATCAACACAAAACCAACACACAGCCAAGTTACAACCAACACACAGCCAGTTTACAACCAACACACAGCCAACTTACAACCAACACACAACCACCTTACAACTAGCTTACAATCAACATACAACCAACACACAACCAACACACAGCCAACTTACAACCAACACACAACCAGCTTACAACTAGCTTACAATCAACACACAACCAACACACAGCCAAGTTACAACCAACACACAACCAGCTTACAACCAACACACAGCCAACTTACAACCAACACACAACCACCTTACAACCAACACACAGCCAACTTACAACCAACACACAACCAACACGCAACCAACTTACAACCAACACACAACCAGCTTACAACTAGCTTACAATCAACACACAACCAGCTTTACAACTAAGTTCCAATTCGTGCATGTTCATATCTGTTACACAAAGTCGACTCTCGGTTTACCTTATAAGTATTAGGGAAACGTGGTGAAGGCTGAGTTGCCTCCCTTAATTGTGTCACCTTACAATCAACACACAATCAACACACAACCAACACACAACCAACACACAACCAACCTACAACCAACACACAACCAACCTACAACCAACACGCAACCAGCTTACAACCAACACACAGCCAACTTACAACCAACACACAGCCAACTTACAACCAACACACAACCAACACGCAACCAACTTACAACCAACACACAACCAGCTTACAACTAGCTTACAATCAACACACAACCAGCTTTACAACTAAGTTCCAATTCGTGCATGTTCATATCTGTTACACAAAGTCGACTCTCGGTTTACCTTATAAGTATTAGGGAAACGTGGTGAAGGCTGAGTTGCCTCCCTTAATTGTGTCAGTATCCGCTAGTGCCTTTACCATTTAACTAAATTAAGCACAAAGCAGCGTTACGACGAACTCACTCACTCAGTGACTATATTTTACTTGTTCACATCTATCTCTCTGTTTCGAATTTGCAGTTCATTTTAACTTCGAAATACAACAGATGTTAACAGAATAATGAAACCAAAAAGTTATATGATAAATTATTTGTTAAATGGAAGTATTACGTGCGACTTATTTTCTTTCTACTTCATCAACTTCGCTATTAACTGAACTCATCATCGGTCTTCAGGGGGGCATGTACCTGCTGCAGCTGATGGACAATTTCGTCGGGGGATGGACCCTCATCATTATAGGGTTCTTCGAGTTGGTAGCAGTTATATTTGTATATGGTAAGTAGAACACCAGTTCCCCAGTGATGTTTTCATATCATACCCAATATTAACCCTCGGCCCCTTCATCCGCCCTCTAGCCTTCGGTCCTATAAACTGCCCTGTAATAAGCTTTTTATCATATACCATAACATCAAATCGGAAAATGTCTCCATTCTTTTAAAAAAACATCGTGTGTATGTCTGTAAAAACATGTTCACCGTGTTTGGAAGACATTGTCACCGGAAAGCTTGCCGAGCAGACGACGCACCAAGGGACGTAACTCTAATTTCTAACCACCCGGGATGATTTAAAATGCATTGACAAGCCATATCAGGCCGCTAGGGGTGTAATACGGGTCTGGTTACGCCCCCTGTGATACGGCCGTCTCCATGTCTCCGTCGCACATGCAAAATACCTCATATCATTGATGGGTATATGATAATCTCTGTTGATAAATGGTTAATGGTAACTTTCGGGCTGTGTCTATCACTGGAGAATATAGTGTCTCACTGAACATTGAGTTTGTTCCAATTTGATTGTAATATGTTAGGAAGTTTATCCCGACGGGCCCTGGGACAGACAAACGAGTGGTTGATCACGGCCCAATGCTATCAAGCCATCTGACCACCCGATTCCATCCGGAATCCCCACAAGGAGAAAAAGATTTTTCAATTCTTTGTTTGTTTGTGAAATGTTTGTGAAGCATGCTGTTGTTGTTTTCGCTCCTGCCAGGTGCCAACAGGTTCTGTAACGATATCCGGATTATGACCGGCTATAACTGGTTCCTGTGGTGGAAGATCTGCTGGTACGGACTCAGTCCAGTCACAATAGGGGTGAGTACCACCGACTGACCGCCTCCGTGGTCTAGTGGTAGATCGGCTGCCCGGAGAGCGAAGGTCCGGGGTTCGATCCCTGGCCGCGTCATACCAAAAGACGTTAAAAGATGGTACTTCTTGTTACCCTGCCTGCAGCTGGCGCTTGGCATTAAGGGGCTAAAAACTGGTGGGCTCCGAGTCAGTATACTGTGTCTGTGTTGGGTATTCGTGTTAAACTGCGGCATGGTATCTCGGTGAGGTAGCGCTATCAAATCGGCATTAGTACAAGCAGTCACACACACACACACACACACACACACACACACACACACGTACATGCACGTCGCTATATAAGTGCAGTAATCTTGGACGCGACGTTAAACCCCATTTCACCTCGCCTTACCACTGACAGTGCAAAGTTAACTTGTACACAAATCCATATATCGAGTCTTGATGTCCGTCTCACTATCAAAACTCCATCTCTACATATATAAACGCTGTATTTGTTTATAGAGAGGTGGGGGTAAAAATTCAGGAATTTATTATCATTATTATTTCACGAGAAACACTTGTACAACAAATTATCTATCTTGATTTTATTGTTTTTACTTCTCTCATTTATCGTTACGTACATTGATTTCGAACAAAAAACGACAGAATGTACATTAATATCACAAAAATGAAATCACAAACTATGTACCTAGTTAAAGAGGGGGTGGACCCGCGTCAGTTTGTGGTCCAAGCAAGTTGCTTCATGTTAGTCAATCACAACTTTGTAAGTCACATTCTATGATATATATCAGTCTAGCTGGTGACGTCTAGTTGTATAAATGGGCCCAGGCTGTGCCAAAATAGTACTTCAAATAAACATCTACCTGACGTTCAGTAGATATTTACTTTTGCCAGAAACAAAACCTGCGACAAAATATTATTCGATATCCACCGCACGAAAGCCTATAGGGGTCAAAATTAAAATATGGAAGTGACACGAAAATAAATTCGTTATAACAGAAAAAATATTCGTTATTACGGAAATAATTTCGTTATAACAGGAAAAAGATTCGTTATTATGAAAATAAATTTGTTATAACGGAAAAAGCCTCGTTATAACGAAAACATATTCATTATTACGAAAAAAAAATCGTTATTGCAAAAATGAATTCGTTTTAACGGAAAAAAGATTCGTTATTACGGAAATAATTTCGTTATAACGGAAAAAATTTCCGTTATAACGTTGTTACGGAAATAATTTCATTATTACGGAAACAAAGATTCGTTTTTATGGAAATATTTTCGTTATTACGGAAAAAAAGATATTACGGAATACGGAAAAAGATTCGTTATTACTAAAAAAAGGTTCGTTATAACGAAATTATTTCCGTAATAACGAATCTTTTTTTTTCGTTATAACGAAATTATTTCCGTAATAACGAGTCTTTTTTCCGGTTATAACGAATTTCATTTCGTTTCCTTTTCCATATTTCAATTTTGACCTCAATAGGCTTTCGTACCACCGAACCTTGCGAAGACGCAAATGTCGAAGTTTGCGTTGCAGAGTTGTGTCCCTTTACATCCCGACCGCAATCGGTTTCCCAGCGCGCGACGCTGGTTGTGTGGTTTCAAGGTTCGCCCGGATTTTGATCTATGATGTGGTTTACAGCCGTGACCTCGTGTGCAGAGTGGGGGCTCCTCCACATTAGGCCCACACGTCATAATCTTCAGGCCCGTATGAAGGAATATCATGGTGGCTAATCCTGACCCCAGATATTAATCAGTGGAGGGGAAGAGCGAAATCTTCCAAACTATTAAGATTTATTTTATTTGTACATTTAACTGCATAACCAATCACTACACTCACATTAGGGTCTACCTTCTCCTAAATAATACCTTGTTATATTAAATAGTTCAAAAGTTTTAGTTGAATGTATTTCTAGTGTCATCTTACACAGCGATTTGGGGGGGGGGGGGGGGGGGGGGGGGGGGCATTGTCGCGTTTGGGCGCTATTGGGGGGGTGTCTAGCCGGGAGAGCCACATTTCAGAAATGGCTATTGCCGGTAGAGCCACATTTTCAGCTGAGTGCATTTCACCTATTCTAGCGGGTAATTAATTAATTCGATTACCGATACCTTTAAATGAGTGTGATTTATGTTTCTAGGTTTGTCAGCACCATACCCGTGCTCGTGGGTTTCACCGAGGTGGTAAACGTCTGAGACCTGCATCACTTCGGGCTTTCCTCCCACATTAAGCTGACACGCCGTGATATAACTGGAATACTGTTAAAAGCGGCGGTAAACCCAACTCACTCACTCTGGCGCTATTAGTAACATGTTTACTTGCATAATAATTCCCCCTCCCAACGCCCCTGTATAAACGGAAAAAACAGGTCATACGCGTCAGTGGCACAAATATAATCAGGACAGATACTAAAAGGAGCCCGGCTCTCCACAGGAACAATTTACACTTTATCGTTATTTGTTTTCTTAGTTCATCTTCATCTTCACCTGGGTGGACTACTCCCGCCTCACCTACGGCGACTACACCTACCCCATCTGGGCCGAGGTCTTGGGCTGGCTGCTCGCCTTCACCTCCATCGCCGCCATCCCCGTCGTCATGCTCTACCGCATCAGTAAGGAGGACGAGGGAGACAACGCATGTCAGGTACGTGTGCAGGGAAACCTCGATAACACGGACGGCGTACGGTGTCTGGATGAACGAGTTTCCGGTCCAAGGAATCATTGAAGTGTCATTTCCCATTTAATAGGCTCGTTAGTATTTGTTTTTTATTGGTGTCTGTTTTCTTCCACCAGAAAGTACAACTTCTTACCATACCGACAGAGGAATGGGGCCCCGCCCTGGTCAAGCACAGGAAGCTGGTCCATTATGTCGACGACTTTGTTGTTGACCCCTGGGAAGCAAAACGGGCAAATACATTTGTGAACTATGCATTCAAGTCACAGTCCCGAGACACACTGGACGTAAGTAGCATGTCGAGAACAGTATATCCCCACGTACCCTAATTTCGAACAGTTAAGATAGCATCGCAGATATTTTGAGGGATGAGTGAATCAAAACTCAAACTCCGCTTCAGTGGGTGGTGTCTTCAGCAATAGAATTCATTCCGAAAGACTCGTGAAGATCCGCGATAGAAAATGTCTTCAGCAGCCCATGATTGCCGTAAAAGGCGACTATGCTTGTCGTAAGAGGCGACTAACGGGATCGGGGGGTCAGACTCGCTGACTTGGTTGATGGATGTCGTCGTATCCCATTTGCGTGGATCGATGCTCATGATGTCAGTCACTGGATTGTCTGGTCCAGACACGATTATTTACAGACCGCCGTCATATGACTGGAATGTTGCTTAGTGCGGCGTTAAACAACATAAACAAACAAACAAAACATTCCGAAAGAAAACAAATCATCGATAAATTGGCTTGACCTCCATTACCTCTGTAAACTGACGCTGAACTCGAGTGACGTCACCTATTTTCAAACACCTGATTGGTATCATACTTTTTTTTATGAATTAACATGTTTTGGCGCACATTTCTCAACATAATTCTTGCTGGTCGGCATTAAAACTCCAAAAGTAATTGAAAGTTTGAAACCTATTCACAAAATATCAATATTTGTCCAATTATAGTGTTCACACTATTTTACTCTTCCTTTTATCACGAAACGGGCAGAAAAGTGCGGCGTTAAACAACAAACAAACAAACATTGGATATATAAATATACTTCTAGAACATTTGTACAGTATAATTCTTCCCATTGAGATCAATGGATATAAATATACTTATAAAACAGTTATAGTTCTTCCCATGAAGATCAATTGGTATATACAAAAACGTTTAGAATAGCGACACTGTATATTGATATAAACACTTTATGCGAACAGGTACTCTTATGTATAGCCGTCTTGTGTATATTGCATCTATATGACCTACATCATGTGTGTATATGCATGTGTTTCAGACCGGAAGTTATCTCTCTGAGGTCACGACTGAATCAAGGTTTACACGAGGGTCAAGGACGACAGGTCACTCGGTGCATACAGTTTCATCTTTCGAGTCCACAGTCTGATACCAAGTAGACAACTCTCAGAATCGTGCAATATAAGTCATTCCACCCTTCATTGACTGGTTCTATTGGTGGCCCATAGCTATTCTCGGCTGTGAAGTACCGATGACTGCTGAAACATCCAGGTCATCCTCGATAGTCTAGGGTGTTATATTTCTAAAATGCAAATGGCACCCTTGATATGCTGATCCGGGTACACTACATGTATTGGATTCTCATGACTGAGCATAATGTCAGGGGGAAAAGAATATGTAAGTCATCACTAACTCATATTAGTACTGGCTTGTTATATCAATTGTAAAAAGTCCAAAGATCTATCATTTTTTTCTTCAAAAAAATCCTTTCTCAACAGTTAGGACCGTCACTTAACTTAACAAATACATCTCATTCCATAATCGCATACAGAACCGTACAGCTATTGGAAGCTAGCATCTGTTGTCTCATGTATAGAAGTAGCGACCAGATGCAGAGAATGTGATAACAAAATCAAACAGGTTGAAGAACCTGTTATCGTGAAAGATGTCATTTACTAACAAAGAGTTATTCTGCAAATGTTGACACAACTTACAGAGAATCAGCTGATGTGTCTCATTCTCAGAATATACAGAGTTTAACGCAGAGACAATATATGTATTTCTTTAAACACATTTAAGTAATCAGTTTCATTGTTGTGTTCTGTTAACGATATCCATGTACATACTATTTTGTTTCTCAAATTCATGAATGAGGTCGGTTTAACGCCACTTTGGTCAGTTTTCCAATCATATCACAGTCTTATAGTGTCAGTTTAATGTGGGAGGAAAGCCCGAAGATATGCAGGTGTCAGACGTTTACAACTTTGGTGAAACCCACGAGTAAGGATATGGTGCTAACAAACCTCGAAACATAATCAGGGCGAACCGGGATTTCGAACCCACAATCATAGGTTTCTGGCACGCCTAAGTGAGTGAGTGATTTGGGTTTAACGCCGCTTTCAACAGTATTCAAGTTATATCACGGCGTGTCAGCTTAATGTGGGAGGAAAGCCCGAAGTGATGCAGGTCTCAGACGTTTACCACTTCGGTGAAACCCACGAGCATGGGTATGGTGCTGACAACGTAATCGGGAAACTTAATCGGGTCGAACCGGGATTCGAACTCACAATCATAGGTTTGTGGTGTGCCCAAGCACGCCTAAGGGAAGATCCGGTTGGTAGTGATGTAATCAGAATATTGACATGGATCATACTAATAACGTTCTGACCCTATTACAAACCTATGAGTCACATGATCAGTCACATGATCAGTCACATGTCTGCAATTGAATACAGTTTCCCTTTGCATCTCGTCATGACATGGCGAGTTGTGACCGGACATCACGACCATTGTCCACTACTAGATAGTCCCGCCATTCTATACATAATCAGGACCCGTTCCACAAAGCGATCGTAACGTAAGGTGATCGTAACTCCCATACTTGAACAAAGACCTACGACAGTCGTAGCGCAACGATCGCTTTGTTGAACAGGGCCCTGGACAATATTCACAACCATACTGATGAGAAGTTATCATCTATAACGCACTTACCATCTTAGTCGATCAAGGGGTCCCTTAGGTGAGTAATATCCAGTGTACATGTGGGTTCGAATCCCGGTTCGCCCCGATTATGTTTCTAGGTTTGTCAGCACCATACCCGTGCTCGTGGGTTTCACGGAAGTGAAACGTCTGAGACCTGCATCATTTCGGGCTTTCCTCCCACGCCGTCATATGACTGGAATAATGTTGATAGCGGCGTCAAACCCAACTCACTCACTCACTATTTATATGCGAAATATATATGTGACCCAACAGGAGAAAAGGGACTTTGCGTGTGCTAGGATACAATTGTGCTATGACGTCATAAAGACGTATAACGTCCTATTACTTCAGTGAAGATCGCCATGTGTGCTGACTGTACAAAAATATCATATTCTTTTCTCGTTAGTTCGTAATGTAAAAAACACATTATTTCAAAACCTTTCAGCATACATATCTACTTTCAATTCGTTAGACATTATGTCTCAAAACTGCAATTATTACATAAACTGGAGAATGAGTCGAAATGGTTGGGGGTGGTCGGGTAGTATAGTGGTTAAAGCGTTCGCTCGTCACACCGAAGACCCGGGTTCGAATCCCGACATGGATACAATGTGTGAAGCCCATTTCTGGTGTCCCCCGCCGTGATATTGCTGGAATATTGCTAAAAGCGGCGTAAAACCATACTCACTCACCCAAATATTTGGTGTCGTGTATCTCTGTAGTAAATGGGAATTGAAGCGTGTGAGTTGTATTTTTGTGTTCCGAAGATACTGTATAATAATATAATGAGATTTCACCCACATGGTCACTTGTCTCCTGCTTGGTCACGTATTTTTCTCGGAATTGCTATATGGTGACCTTTTAACATAACCTACTGTGATGGACAATCAAGAGATAGATCGGCAGTTGGGTCACACTTCAACGTAAAGGATCCGAAAATATTTTTTCAGAGCCAGATACGTGGTTTAATCATGCTGATTCAGCAAATTGTATACTTGGCTGCTGATGAGGACCTGTGAGGTTGTGTATTTTATATTGTGTGTTTACAATCTCATTAAAATCATACCTAAGTTCTCGCCGCCGCGGGCGATCAAATAGCCTCGTGGTTAAAGCGTTCGCTCGTCACGCCGAAGACCCGGGTTCGATTCCCGACATGGGTACAATGTGTGAAGCCCATTTCTGGTGCCCCCCGCCGTGGTATTGCTGGAATATGGCTAAAAGCGGCGTAAAAACATGCTTACTCACTCTCGCTGCCGCTAAAACAAAGATCTGAGGGCATCCCATTACCGACCAATAAAAATGACTAATAAGAAGTCGACATTAGCCAGTTATAAAACAGCTTTTTTTAGCTTTACGGCACTCGTTTCAACCTGGCGACTTCCATTTCAGACTACGCTTGAATAATTAAAAGTTTGAAAACTGAACAAACGAACATTCCGGAATGTCTAATATATGGTTGAGATTGTATGGCAGTGCTTCCCACGTACTGTGCAACGCCTCCTCCGTCCAAATGTTTATCCCACGGAAGCGAGAGATAGACTGATTTTGACGGAATCAGTCGCACGGGCCGTAACTGTCGTTCAGAACACCTCGTGTTAACGTTTTCGAGGTTGCATGATTAGAAAACACATTCCTACCGTCACTTTCATGATCTGGCAAGCGACGCTTTGATTGATCGGATAAAAGGTCGTTCTGACGTGACCCGTAATGGGATGTCCTCAGATCTTTGTTTACCGATAGCGAGAGCTAAGATCTGATTTTAATGAAATTGGTGAGTTTATAGTCAGGATTTTTATACTTCTTTAATAAAAAAAACATTAAAGATTTAGTTTTCATCTTTCCCTTTTGTCCATGGTTATATGTTTGTTGTACAGAGAAGTGCCGTTTTCACACGTTAGAGCCAGTAGATACGTTTCAGCGTTTGAGCTGTGAGAACCGTTTTTACGCGTTAGAGCCAGTAGACACGTTCCAGTGTTTGAGCTGTGAGAACCGTTTTCACGCGTTAGAGCCAGTAGATACGTTCCAGCGTTTGAGCTGTAAGAACCGTTTTCACACGTTAGAACCAGTAGACGTGTTCCAGCGTTTGAGCTGTAAGAACCGTTTTCACACATTGGAGCCAGTAGATACGTTCCAGCGTTTGAGCTGTAAGAACCATTTCCACACGTTGGAGCCAGTAGACGCGTTCCAGCGTTTGAGCTGTAAGAACCGTTTTCACACGTTGGAGCCAGTAGACGCGTTCCAGCGTTTGAGCTATAAGAACCGTTTTCACACGTTGGAGCCAGTAGATACGTTTAAGCGTTTGAGCTGTAAGAACCATTTCCACACGTTGGAGCCAGTAGATACGTTTAAGCGTTTGAGCTGTGAGAACCGTTTTCACACATTGGAGCCAGTAGATACGTTCGAGTGTTTGAGCTGTAAGAACCATTTCCACACGTTTGAGCCAGTAGATACGTTTAAGCGTTTGAGCTGTGAGAACCGTTTTCACACATTGGAGCCAGAAATCACGTTCCAATGTTGGAGCTGTGAGAACCGCATTCATGAAGTAGAGACAGCATATTAAAGTCACGGAGAAGGCAATCTGTGTCTCCTGATATGCATGAGTCCGCACCAGATTGCCCATGGCATGTCATGGTGTTCTAGAGGGGTTCTGCCACGCCCACCAAGGACCATGTTACAGGACATGTCATGGTGTTCTAGAGGGGTTCTGCCACGCCCACCAAGGACCATTTTACAGGACATTTCATGGTGTTCTAGAGGGGTTCTGCCACGCCCACCAAGGACCATGTTACAGGGCATGTCATGGTGTTCTAGAGGGGTTCTGCCACGCCAACGAAGGACCATGTTACAGGACATGTCATGGTGTTCTAGAGGGGTTCTGCCACGCCAACCAAGGACCATGTTACAGGACATGTCATGGTGTTCTAGAGGGGTTCTGCCACGCCCACCAAGGACCATGTTACAGGACATGTCATAGTGTTCTAGAGGGGTTCTGCCACGCCCACCAAGGACCATGTTACATGGCATGTCATGGTGTTCTAGAGGGGTTCTGCCACGCCCACCAAGGACCATGTTACAGGACATGTCATGGTGTTCTAGAGGGGTTCTGCCACGCCCACCAAGGACCATGTTACAGGACATGTCATGGTGTTCTAGAGGGGTTCTGCCACGCCAACGAAGGACCATGTTACAGGACCTGTCATGGTGTTCTAGAGGGGTTCTGCCACGCCAACGAAGGACCATGTTACAGGACATGTCATGGTGTTCTAGAGGGGTTCTGCCACGCCCACCAAGGACCATGTTACAGGACATGTCATGGTGTTCTATAGGGGTTCTGCCACGCCCACCAAGGACCATGTTACATGGCATGTCATGGTGTTCTAGAGGGGTTCTGCCACGCCCACCAAGGACCATGTTACAGGACATGTCATAGTGTTCTAGAGGGGTTCTGCCACGCCCACCAAGGACCATGTTACAGGACTTCTCATGGAGGAACAAAACTATGAAAAATATCATCACAGGTTATATGTTCAGAGTTTTGTTAAAATCGGTTGATTGATAATAGTGCCTTTTGTGGCATTCCAAAACTGTCCAACGGTGTTAATGTTCGGGATTTACGCTCAATTGCAATTGTACACATCTGCTTTATGATTTTACTAGCGTTTCCTCCTGTTTAAGGTGTTTTACACCGGTATCGTCACAAGTTGAAACATTATTTATGATTTGGTAGGTATCGTACAGAGTAGATATGTCTTGTGATTATGTAAAAGTTTTGTCGCTTTCTTCAGTCCTTGTGAGCGGTCGGGTAACCTAGTGGTTAAAGCGTTCGCTCGTCACGCCGAAGACCCGCTTCGATTCCCTACGTGGGTACAATGTGTGAAGCCCATTTCTGCTGTCCCCCGCCGTGCTAGCATATTGATAAAAACGGCGTTAAACCATACTCACTCACTCACTCAATTCAGTCAATGTCATATTCACATAGACTCTTGTCATATTCATATAGACCCGCGCCAAACTCGCATAGACACTAAGTCTTGTCATACTCATATAGACCCACGCTATACTCGTATAGACCCTTGTCATACTCACATAGACCCTTGTTATATTCATATAGACCCTTGTCATACTCACATAGAACCTTAAAAATTGTCATACTCACATAGACCCTTGACATACACACATAGACCCTTGTCATACACATATAGACCCACGCCATACTCGCATAGACACTTGTCATACTCATATAGACCCACGCTATACTCGCATAGACCCTTGTCATATTCATATAAAACCCTTGTCATACTCGTATAGACCCTTGTCATACTTACATAGACCCTTGACAT